ACGTAGCTATTTATTATTAGCATTGTTCTTCCGACGTCTGATTTCTGTTTAATTATAAGAAATGCGTTTTTCTAAGGTACATAAACTTTTGGGATTGACTGTATAGCCAATACATCCTTAATCGTACGGTTCTTTTTCGTTTATGTGATTCTTTTTCTTGATATCACACTTTTAGCGCTATTCTCACAATGACTCAGCTGACGGTTTTCCCCGAGTTTAATACATTCAGTTGGCAAATCGAGTCCGAGTTATTGACATTCTTTTCCTCTCCGTTCATTACATAACACAGAAGGCTAATCAGCACGTTGCACAATAGGATTTTCCTTATTAGAGTCCAATGAAATAAGTACGAAATTTAACTCATTCGAGGGAAGTAACTAACTTAAAAAAAAACTGATTCCAATTGAGGGCTTACACTTGCGGTACCAAATGCAATTAGCTTTAATGCATGCTCCCGTGAACTGTAAATGTAACGTGGGAAACACGATGGTGGAAACACGAGATCCAGCGCATCGTAAGTTTGTATCTGCCTACCGATTCGTTATGAGAGTGTCCAAGTTGGGCTATCGATAATTCAAAAAGTTGATAAGCGATAGTGCTCGTGCGCGCATCAAGGTGTTATGAAGCGTTACGGTTCGACGTTTCCTGTACCGATGAAACCAGAGACACGGAAAACAAGAAAACAACCCCGTCGCTTCTTTATTGGATACTTTTTTAATCCCTTTTCGCAATATTCTTTAAGTAATTGCGAAACTTTCGGACGTTAGAATACATACTCTCGACTGTCTTTTTTCTTTCTCTTGGATACTCGAGACGAACGGGATGATTCAAGTTATCATGGTTTCGTTTTTCGATACGGTTTGATTCGAAGAACGGATTATTAAGAACAGTTAGGAGGGCACACCGATGAAACGTGAAACTAACCCGGAAACGAGCGTAATTATCGAGTAGGGGAAACTGTGGTAACGGCCCAGTTTTCCAACGGCGAGAGTTTTCATTAGGGGATGAACAGTATCCGGGGCCATTCATTATCGCTTTATCTAAACCTCGTAACAGTTCGAGTGCACTTCGCGCCGCGCCGCGTGTCCTCTCTTGCACAATAGAACTGCTACGCAATTAGCCAAGTGTCGCTCTAATAAGGATTTGTAGAATAGGTTGGGTCGGGTTAAATCGGACTGTTTACCGTTAAACAGCTGGACAGACCGGCACGGATTCATATGTTTCGGGTGTTAGCCTGTCGTTGAGTTCGCACTATGATGAACACCGATTCGTTTCCGGCGCTTCTAATTAGTTTCCAACGAAAAGTTCTGTTTCCGTTCTCTCTCGAACCGAATTTCCTCTTCGGGAACAAACATATACGTACGTTAATCGTTATAAAAGTGATTTCAAAGTAAGAAAAATAGAGAAAAGAAAGCAGGGAAGTTAGATAATTAATTATTTGCTTTTAATTGAAATAACGGAAATGAAAAGTACTGCGGAAAGAGAACATGAATAAAAGTTGACGTTCGCGTGCCGATATAATCAGGAATCATGCATTTTGAAAAGTTCGAAAAGAATTTTGATGCTCCGTTTTAGTTTCCGGCTAATTCGCTTGGCAACCGGGTCACCGGTTAACCAGGTTCCCGGATTAAAATATGCGCAGAGTTTTCCGTAAAACTCGACTGATTATGAAAAGAGATTTCCATTGTAAATTCTGTTTATAAACTTGCTAGTTCTATCTACTTACGTTACGCTCGGAAACAACGAATTCAGAGATTAACTTCTTTGTTTATTCCCACTGTTCCTCAGCGGCGACCGAAATAAACAGCGGTTGCTAATAAATACGTGAAAACGCTGACGCGTTCGTTCTTATCCTAATTCGGGACGGGGAATATTTCGCCATTTTCCCACGGCTCGGCACGAATCCAACAGTCGAGCGAGTGCGCTGACCAAGTTTTAGCGGAACAAATAATCAGAGTACTACGTGATTCGTAAAGAAGCTATCTGGGAGCGTAATTACTTCGCGCTATGAACTCACTTCGGGTAGGAATTAGTGTTTTTGAAACGAGTACGGTGTGGCTGGTAACAAAGCTGTCATCAGCTGAGCGGGTTGAAATCTTAACGTTCCGAGCGTTTGAAGTTAACTTGCGTCACGAGCAGACTTTCTGCTTTCATCTTCCTCGAGTTTAACATCTTGTGCAATTCAACTGGCTGGCTCTTTCCACC